AATTAATCAACAAATTTTTAAATCTCAGACGAGATATGCAACCAGAAAGAAAGAGATCAAACTCGATCGTTTTAAATGGAATTACACGTCAGAGATTGTGGGAATTGTTGGGAACTGCTTGCGTCTTCCTGTTCGCACCTCTCATCGTGATCGCTCTAATATTTTTGTACATCTATCGTCGTTTGGTCGAGATCGCGTTAAGAATCAAGTTGCGGAGCAAGTTCGCCGGTCTCTTGGAGGGCGCGGATTGCGTATGGGCCGTTGAAGAAGCTGTTTCTCCATCCGTTATTAATATCTTGATAATACTGGAGAATGCCGCGCAGGAATCAAACGCGATGTTCCTGGAGTCTTTCAGGAATTTGATAAATGAACGGATTATTTTGAAGGCCCCTGGCACGATGCTTGAGAAACTCTTGTACCTTCGAAGTCAGAAATTTGGTTACTGTTTTTGGGAGAGAAGCGAGACGGTGGACCTGAAAGACAGAATCAGATGGCTGGAGTGTGTAAATGCCAACTGCGACGGGTCCTGCGAGGATATATGCAGCGAGTCCTTCAGAAAGACCTTGGAAAACGTGTGCAACAAACCGTTACCCGATGATGACCGGGCCACGTGGGAGATTCTCGTCGGCAGACGCTGCCGGAGGTCCAGATCTCACAAAAAGGATTATTTATATCCTGCAGATTGCTTTAACACCGACACCCGGAAAATTCCCGTGATATTTCGCATTCATCATTCTCTGGGCGATGGAGAGGCCCTTGTAGGCTTATTACTTAAAATGATCGAAAAGGACGAGACGAAAGAGGAGAGTGTGAAAATCAAGAGTATCGATTCGTCCGGCGAGATTGAAAAACATTTCAAAGAGATGGTTTCGACATTTTTCAATAATGAAATGATTGAGTCGTTAAAACAGCAAGCGAAAATGTCGATGGATCGTACGTGGTATGGAAGAATTAAGAAGATCACGCTGCTAACGATGGCTTTACTTTCTTTTCCGAAATACTTCATTCAACTAGCTGTTCGTAGCATGGAGGAAAAGTGCGTTCATTCAGTATTTGGTTCAATGTACATTAAACAAAATGTTTATTCCTATTGGAAATAGATGAATAAACAGATTTATTTATTTATCAAACTTAATGCCTGAAAAAATGAGAAAAAATGAAAAGATGTTCAAAATCTCTATTGTTAAAATTAAAATTTATAATTTCATGAAAAATTAATTCTAATTAAATATATTTAATATATCTATCTTTTTTATACTATTATTAGAAATTTAAGCAACAACTTACACATTTCGAAAACTAGATAAATATCAAGTGTACTTTTGACAAAAATAATTAGAAAGAGATGTTCCGAGGAACACTTTGAAGTTTAAAATCTTCATTTTTCAGTACTTTAGATCTGACTATTTTTTTATTGAGTTACGCAGATACAAATGGAGATCCATTAAATCTCAAAATTTGTTACAAACTTTGCAAAGTTTCATGCCGTAAATGAGAAATCGAATAAAAATATAGTTTATAACTTCCAAAAGCGTGAATGTTTAGCTTTAATTTGCGTACTTATTGATTGTCATGCAATTATTGTTTATCGAGTTATTTGGCATTAAAGCAGAAAGTATCTCTTTTAACATTAACTGACCATAAAAAATAAATAAAATAATACTCTAATAAAAAAAAGTGCATAGTTCTCTTTAAAATATATCTCATTATTTTATCATTTTATCGCACGTAACTTCGAACATTAATAAAGAAACGTTATTGAAAGCACTTCATATCTGTTACATAATCGCATTGTTTTAAAAATCGCTGGCACGACGTTTGAGAATCTGTTCTATCTTCGAAACCAAAAATTCGACTAGTATGTTTGGAAGAGAAGCGAGAAAGTAGAGGTAGATTTGGAAGAAAAATATGTTAAACTTGTTCACTCACTTAGATAAGTGTAACTTTGACAAAAATGTTTCTTAAATTTTAGAATTTATTTATTTTTCGAAGGTGTATAAGACGTGATGTTTTAATTTTTGCTAGTAGTATATGCAAAATATTGTTGTAAATAATAAAAGTTTTTACAGCGCTCTGCATGGTCCACCTTTAACGGGTAAAAAAATAATGTTTTACTGGCTAGATAATGTGACAAATGATAAATCATTGAATCTTTTAATGAAAATTCGCAAGATAAAAACACATACAGGTGTTAAATTTAATGATATAGTATTGGCAGCTTTTTCCGCTAGTGTACACAAATATCATTTACGCGTAAGTATGTATAAAGCTTTCAAGCAACAAATAACTCTAAAGAACTTTATTCAGAAATATGTTTGAATAATATTTAGAAAATAAAAAAATTTTTTTACACATTTATATTTTGTCAATCTGCGTTCAGACTCGTTTTACTATCATAATGTTTTTTATCGTATTATATTATAGATCAAGAAAACAGCTCCCGATGCATTAACAGCTATCTTGCCAACAAGAATGGCAATGCCTGGTACAAATTTAACGTTAAATAACGACTTTTCGTTTGCTTTCTTGCAAATTTGTATCGCTAATGCAAATGGACAAACAATCGTCGATCCAAATCGAGATTCTCAGTTTTTTAAGCGCCTTAAAGATATTACAAGAGCAAATAACGAGTTCAGAAAGCGTTCAGACCTTTTGGTTAATTATTGGATCATGAAGTATCTGTCCGCATTATTGCCGGTGAAAATGTTATTGAAGACTTTTTTTTTATGGGATGGCACGGTTGGATTTAGCAATATGCGCGGACCGGAAAAAGTTCGTATTTTGAATAATTCTGTGAGAAACTGTGTGTTCTGGGTACCAACTAAGTATCGTATCTTTGTTTTTTTTACAGTAAATAAAGTTATTGTGCATTGTAGCAATTTATATATAGATGCATCACATTTTGTTTCCAGAAACTCTATTGCTCTCGGCTTATCTCTGTTAAGCTACGGAGGCAATTTACAACTGTCTTTAATAGCTGATAAGTCAATCGTAAAGGATGAAGCACTTTTTACGGAGCTATTAGAAAATACTGTATATGAAATAGAGGCAGCTTATAATGATGTAATGATGCGCTTATTAAAGTCATCAGATCTTCCGATAGAAACAACAGCGGAGAAAAATAACGTAAATTGAAGTTTTAGTTATTCCTACTTTAATTTAATTTCTATATTTTGTTTATACGCACGTCGCAATAAAATATTCAGTAAATTTGCATTCACAAAAGATATCTTTGTGTATTTTTAGATATCGGCGTGTTTCGAAAAAAGGAAATATGAGTGACTAAAATATTTTATCTCTTTTAATCCTCAGCTGGAGCACTATCTGTATTTCCCGATTCTGGAGCACTGAATGTGCAACTCCCTCAACGTTTCATTTGCATATTTCGTGTGTCAAACTACGTGTTTTGTAACATGTAAACTACGTGCAATGCATTGCTATTTTCTTGGATGTTTGGTTATTATCTGATTAATATTAATAACATATGTTCTTACATTTATACATATATTGTGAATTGTGATGTTTTGCAACAGAAATTCATCGCAGAGAACGTCATAAATTCTAAAAAAAATATTAAAAATAATTTGCAGAAAATGATGGATTCTGATGAATAAAATAAAAAATTTGCAAAACAAGTGTTATATACAGGGTGTTTCATTTTAATCACCCCAGGCGAATAACTCGAAGATAAGACATGAAATTGAAAAATACTTCAGACAAAAGTTGTATAACTTCAAGGGGGACTTAAAATGGTACCATTGATTTGACTTTGAGTAGCATTGTCAAAGTCAGAGAAAGATCACTTTAAATTTTTTAAATTTAAAGGACAAACTATTTTTTATTGCATATTTTTGTAGCTTATCTCGAAAAACCACTATAACAAAATATTTGTCCATTTAGCACTTTTTAAGTTATAAGGCTTAAAATTTACAGCACCGCTGGTATTAGCATTATCCAAGGTGCCCGAACAAATGTTAAAACCTTTTAAATGTTGTTCAGAATCATGACCTTGACAACACATGTCAAGATCAAGACCATTAAAAATTCTTGATACTGTTTTCATTTTTGAAAATTATTATTTTTCAAAAAAAAAAGGAAATCAATTTCTAATGGTCATAACCTTCACATGTTTTATCAAGGACATGATCCTAGACAATACATCCAAAAAAAGGTTTTAGCCAGTGTTCCGATTCCTTGGATAATACTGCGACATTCATGCTTTATAATTCAAGCTTTTATAATTCAAGATTTACTTAAATAAAAAATATTTTATCTATGTGTTTTGGAAAGTTCTCGAGTTAAGCTACAAGAATATGTAATAAAAAATGAAGGGTTTAAGTAATAGACTTATAAGATAGACTGCGCGGCCTATTGTTCTCGGTGAGGCAGAAGCTAAAGTGAGAGGGCTACACTCCACACTTCTCTATCCTTGGTCAATTGTTGGTGGGAATTAAAAAAGAGGGGTGACCCGCGCCGCGCCGCGCCAGCCGCCGTCAGCCGTGCCGACTCGAGAAACGAAAGAATCCCCTATCTAATAAGTCTATGGTTTAAGTTAAAAATTTTGAATTGACTTTTTTCTGACCTTGACAGCGCTACTCTTGGTCAAACCAATGATACTATTTTATATCTCCCTTGAAATCAAACAACTTTTGTTTAAAACATTTCTTTGTATCTAAAGCCGATTCTAAATAAAAAGGATGATAATTGACTTTACGATTCTGTATACTAAAACTATGTAGCGCGCGCGTATCACGAAAAGAAATAATGATTTTATCTCGCCTCCACAATATTATACTGACACAATGACCAAAGTCCGGAAGTCTAGTTATTTTCTTCATTTCAAACTGCGTTCCGCGACAGTGTTACAAAAAGCGCAATACCATTTATTTCAAAAAAAGGTGTTTATCTGTTTAACTTAATTACATAAAGTTATGCTGGATACACGCAGTACACGGCAACGCCGTGATTTCATTTTATTCTTATAAAATAACAAAAAATTGATTGGCTATACAATCCCAACTTCCGCCGTACGACAAGCGTTATATCGCATCCTCTGTGCATCCAGCAATATGCTACGATAAATCGCTATACTGGTTTGTGGTGGGGAAAACAAAAGGCATAAATATCAAAACTCTGGTTATTGCATCAGTAGAATTAATACTGCAGTGGAAGTGAGATATTTGTAAAATCATTATTCGTTTTTCGCGATACGCGCGCGCTGCATATAATTTTAATATACAGAATATTAATTTATGCGTCAAATTAATGAAGTTTTCGTATATCAAACTACGTGTTATGTAACATGTAAATCTATAATAGTGTCGAATAATCCTTGCTGCGAATTCTTATAGGTATCCCATATGGGTCTATGAAAGTTCAGTGAAGGTTCCGTAAAGAAGCATAAAAATCCTGTGAAGGACCATGAAGGTTCTACGGAAGATCGTAATGGTCCCATATGGGACCGTAACAGTCCCACATAAAAATGTACATAGGTACCACATAGAGCAAGAATGGTAATACATAAGACTCATATAGGATAGTATGAATTCTGCATCGATATGAGATGGATATGAATATGGTGTGAGTATACTATGGAATGGGATGAATTATTTGAGCACTGAATAAATACCGGTTAATAATATAATTTGTTAAAAACATTGAATGGTTTAAAAATTTTTATAATGCTATTTTGATAGATCG